TCTATTCTTACTAGTGTGCACATGTATGGATGCGAATGTGTGGTGTATGTGATGCACATTCTTATTAGTGCGCGCACATGTGCGTGTGCAGGTCAGAGGTTGACTTGGGCTCTTTCTTCCATAGCCCTCCATCTTTAGTTTTTGAGACAGGTCTCTCACTGAATTGAAGCTAACTGATTTGGCTAGGTTGGCTGACCAGTGAGCTGCAGAGTGTCACGTCTTCATGTCACCCAGCACGGGCTTGTGCCACTATGCCCAGCCTTTACATGTTCTGGGGATCTGACCTCAGGTCCTCATGCTTGTAATAGGAGGCACTTCACTGACTGGGCCACCGCCCAGGCTCCTTTTTTATTTTTAATGGTTATCCAGCAAGTAGTGGTGAACTGGGATTCTAATTCTAATCTGATGACTAATGATAGAAACATATCTTTTTAGGGACTTTTGGTCATTTATACATTCTTTGGAAAAAGTGGGCGTGGTAGGGCACACCATTAATCCCAGCATTTGAGAAACAGAGACAGACAGATCTCTGTGACTTCAAGCCCAGCTTGGTCTACATAGTAAGTTCCAGGATAGCCAGGGCTATGTAAAGAGACCCTGTCTAAAAAAAGATAAGAAAAGAAGTGTTAAAGCTAATTTTCTAAGAGATCTTTGTTAGAAGTATTATTTAATTTTTTTTCCTTTTAAATTATGGAAGCTGTCAGGCATGAGTAGGATTTGACTGACAGCCATCATATCCTTCTTCCCAGCAGTCCACAGATGCAATTACCCAGAGTGGTACCTGGACAACTGCCTTAGGCTGGGCAAGGACAGAGGAGGTAGAAACGGCTACCATCAACTTTTCTGGTTCCCAGACTAAGATGAAGGTTGTCAGGAAGGAACCCCTTGGCCTTGTCCACTCCTGAAGTCCACATCAGAGACAGCCTACTTAAGCAACACCCATTTTCATGAAAATTGCATAAGCTGCCAATCAAGTAGCCACTTCTAATGCAATTCTTTAAATTGACAATCAAGCTGTTTTAAAACCCCTGTGGCTGCCAAGACTCTAATCTAGCTACCATCTCCTGGAGGAGACCCAAGCCAGACACAGTCACTCCATGGGGATTTGGTTCTTGCCAGGGGGAACCATACAACTGTCAAGGCCACTACCCCAACAAAGGCTTTACTTGGGGGGTAGGGGGTTATGGTTTCTTGAAGCCTCAACAGCATCAGGGATGCCCTTCAGATAACCAAGTCCATGGCTACCACTCTGGACCTCATCACAAGGGACCTCATAGCACCAAATCCTCAACCCATTGAGGGCAGAGCTCCACTCCCACCCAGGACAGCTGGTGAGCATGGGGTACTAACTGAACAGCTTTAAAAAAAAAAAAAAGAAAAAAAAAAGTGTTCTCTCCTGCTCTAGCAGCAGTCTGGGAAACCTCGCTTTCCTGTACTGTCACTGCATGCTGCAGCACAGGCCCCAAGAAAGCTCCTTTCAAGTACTCTTACTGCCCAAGAGTAGAGTGAGCTGAGCTGCATAGGAACAGGTGACTCCAGGACTGCCAGCTCCCATACCGAGCAGCAGCTAGCAGGTGGCAGAGTCTTATTGCAGGAACAGAGACTAAGAATAAAGATGAAGAACTGGAGAAGTGCTGGGAAGGTGACAGACAGTGGGGAGCAGACAGCAGAGGGTGAAGAGCTGTGGAGAACAAGAACAGAAACTACAAAAGGCAAGAGACACAGGGAGCTGGGACTGTGGAAGAGCTGAGAGCCTCCACTATCAGGAGAATTTTAAGAATCGCTGCTAGTTAGTTGCTGCTGCTAAGAAGTTCAAAGTGGTAACACTGAGAGCTGAGAGTCATCACACACACACACACACACACACACACACACACACACACACCCCTGGGTAAGAGCTGTAACACAAGACACTGGGTACGAAGCCACTTACCTAAAGCTATAATACTAAGAATGAAGGGTGCCCCAAGCTCAGACCAACTGACACAAAGAGGGCTAGCTAAGGTTGGCCCATTCTCAATTTCCATCTGAACAGGGCAAAGAACCCTCAGCTTCAACAGACTGGTGACATGTGCAATTGCCCTCCTTCAGTGACAACAAGAGAAAGTCAGTAAGCACACAGAAGACAAGTAGCCAGCACTCCCGACAAGCTGGACTTGACCACTGAAATTTACAGAACCCTCTACACAACAGCAGAACACACTTTCTTCTCAAGTCTCCCTTAGAACATTTGCCAAGATACACCTTGGACACAATAGTAAATTTAAAACAATTTAAATGAAGGCCTGGCTCAGTTGGTAGAGTGCTTATTCAGCAGGCATGAAGTCTTGGGTATGATTCCACTCATCACATAAATCAGGTGTGGTGGGACACGCCTGTAACCTTAGCACTTGCATAGTGGGAACAGCAAGGTGAGAAGTTCAATGTCCCTCTGCTACATGGCAAGTCAAAGCCACTCTGGCCTATAGGAGACCCTGTCTACAGATAATAAAATAAAAAGTAACCATGATGGTTTGTCAGCTGGACAGGCACTCTGATCACCTAGAAGACAAGGCACGCCTGTGAGGGATTATGCAGATTAAGGAAATTGAAGTAGGTCTTCCTACTTCAGCTGTGGGCAGCATCACAGGCTGAGGTCCCTGACTGCATAAAAAGGAGAAAATAAACTGAGCACCAGCATCCATCACTATCTGAGTCCTGATAACAACGCAGCATGATCAGCCACCTCAAGCTCCTTCCACCATCACTCCCTACCAGAATGATCTGTGCCCTGGAACCAGGACCCAAAATAAACCCCTTCTCCTTTCAATTGGTTGTGTACCCACCACAGTAAGCCCTCTGTTCACAAAGACAGTAAATGCAAAGTTGTTTATGGGGCAGGAGAATAAAGCAAACGGCACAATCCTAGCTTGCTCCTTCTGCTGCCTGTGAGCCCTCTGAGGAGACACCTTGCTGAGGAGACACCTTGCTGTGGGAGTTAAAACATTCACGCATTTTCAATGCAGGAGGTCTACCTGCCTAAAGTTACCCTGAAGTCGGCAGTGGAAACTCCCTTCTCCAGCCCATCCTAAGCCCCGGGGCCTCACTTGTCAGCCCCAGCTCAATCAAGGCAAACCTGTTTGATTTCCACTGTCTTCCAGGCAGCCAGGGAAAGCAGAGAGAAGAAAAATGGAGGAAGGGGTGAGGGATTTGTGGAGCATGCCGCCAAAGCCTGTACAACCTAAATACTGTGGCCATCACTGAAACCTGTGCCACAGGGAAAGCTGGGTAGGGACAGAACAGAACCTTCCAGAAACTCCGTATCTCAAGAGGAAACTTCTAACAATCCTCCCACAATAGCTATTAACTGCACTAATACAGGTTTTCGATGACCTCATTGGTCAGTCAGGAAAAAACCCCACTACTACTAGCCAAGTGTCCAGGGAATGATTCATCATGTGGCTGTTTATCTCAAAGCCCTTTGAAATGGCATATTAGCATATTTCAAAGCAATAAGCCAAAGGCAACAAGAATCTTGAGTTAGCATCTCATTTCCAAGCTCCAGTGGCCAGGCAAACCTACAAATTTGCATTAAGATCAGAATCACCCTGTGTGTGTGTGTGTGTATTAAAAACAGACTCCTAAGGTTCCCTCCAGGTAACATCACAGGACTCTCCAGAGATGGGGCTCTGCATTTTCACCTAGAATTATCATAGATAACTGTTAAGCTCCAATACTTTAGGGCACCGAGGCATCTGGAAGGCAGTATTAGAGAGTTAAAGCTCATCTGCTTTACAAAGAGACAAGAGGGGTAAAAATCCTAACTCGGCCATTTAATGCTTGGAGGGCACTCAGAGGTGCTTTCCATACCCAGTATGTTCAAATCATACTGGATGTACATACAGTAGGTACGTTCAACCTGTACCCAGGACAGGCCAGCCATCAGAACTACTACAGCAATCAGAAGTACTGCTTGGCTAAACAGCAACAGAGAACTAGAGGCACTCCATCATCTTTTCTGCTTAATGGAAATTACAAAGGCACGGGGCCAGATTTCCAGGATAATCTCAGGAAAAAGGCTGTTCTGGGTACTATGAAGGCCAAGAACAAAGTCTCATTTCAGAGTCCACTATTTCTGCCAGCAGTCCTCAGTTCCAGAACACCCTGACTAGATTTCTCCTCTTAAGTCCCCATATCACCACCATCTCCAAGGCTGACAGTCACTAAATGTGGAGTGGCACCTGGATAAGAGGATAAAAAGCAAGGAGAAATGAAGGAAAGTTAGTATTCTGTGAGGCTCCTTGGCTCAAGGTGAACAGTCCCAGTGTGACTGACAAGGTATAGGCTGGACTCAATGGCTGTGACCCTGATTGTAGTCAACTCTACCAGTAACTCAAACACATCCTCGGGGAACGCCTTCCCCCACCCAAGAGTGGAAGAATACCCTTAACCGGCTGTGAAAGGAGAAACAAAAGCAGAACCAGACACATGCTGGGACCATACATCGCTATCCTTTACATGGAAGACACAGAGGTAAGGATGGCTCAGTCCAAGTAGGGGTTCAGAAGAAAGAGGAAGAACAGAACCCCAACCTCTCGCTACCCTAGGGAAAGACACAGGCGAGCAAGACAAAGGGCAGAGTTCCTCCAACCCCACTATGTCCCTGGGGTAATTCGGAACACACACAGGCCTCAGTTTCCCCATCCACACAAAGGGCAAAGAGGGCCTTAATGACCCAATGGCCACGAGATACTACTACAGAGAGTGAAGGGCGGCGTGACGTTAGCGAATAGGTGGGAGGGGGCGGAGCTGAGGCGACTGGAGTGGACAGCCTCCCACCCTCCATCACTCCCACCGCGCTGCAGGGGCGCAGGCCCGCGGGGAGTCACGCGCCCACTGCGCCCAATCGCCAGCCTCGGCCAGGCAAGCGGCAGGCGGGGGCCTCAGAGCTCGCCGGCAACGCCTCCTGCCCCGTCCGCCACCGCCCGCCGCCGCCCGAGACCCTCCCCAGCGGCGCTCACCTGCAGGGGACGCCGCCACCGTGGGCAATCGGCCGCCGCCCGTACTTCCGGGATCCGCGAGCCCCGCCTCCGCCGGATGTGACTCCCTCCCGCGACCAGCAGGGAGCGAGCCGCGCTGCCCCTCCGCCGCGCCTCGTGCGTTCCGCCTCGTGGGCCTCGGGGCGGCCACAGTACCAGCACTCAAACGCCGGTGGCGGTCGGGCACCACACCCGCGGAAGGCCACTCGACCCCGCCCTCGCGGGAAGGCCCCGCCCCTGTCCCGCCCCCGCCGTAGGACTCCGCCCATAGAGAGTGCGCCTGCGCAGATTTGCAGGCCTGTATGCATTTGATAGCCTTGAGGGACCGGAGGGGAAAGCCTGGAATCTCCAAGGGAGGCCCCGGATGAGCTGGTCTCGCATTGAGGCGTCCCTGGCCTGCTGGGCACACTCTTTTCATAGTTTGGCTTCAGGACTAGAATGGCTTAGCGATCTTGGGTGTCCCCTTCAGACTCTGCAAACAGCTCTGAGTCGTTTTCCTAAAAGTCACCCTTTGTCAGGACCCTAGATTGCACTACGTTGTCTGTAGATGGTTGACTCTGGGGTGGCATTGGACCTGATCCATCCTCACTCGCCAAGTGACAAGCCCCAGGAAGGCATGGGAACAAACCAGCCCTGAAAGGTGAACGCCATTCCCCACTACCATGGTTTTGGGGACCCTGAGAGATAAGCTTCCAGCCTAAGAAAACCATGCCACTTGAAATGCTACACTTTGCTATTCCTTGGGACTTTTGTTGTTAGTGGCAGAGACCAGCACAAACCGGCTTCCGCAAAAACGCTGGGTCATACAACCAGGAAAAGTCCAAAGGCCATATATAGTGACACCAGACCCAGTGTCATGCAAGGCCTCCTGTCCATCACTTGAATCTTAACTTCTGTTCACACAAAACAGATCTCATCTCAAAGGGGATGAGAGTCATTTTGCTCTGAGCTGAGGAAGAGTGACCTTGGCGTGAGACACAGTTTCAGGTTGCCTAATGTGTTGCAACGTAGAAGTGCTTTTGTGAAGTTTGTAAAGGAACAGAATAAAAGTAAGTCATACATCAAGGCATCTTTCAGATTTCAAGGCATTTCGTCAGTGGGTTCCAGCGCTTAGGGGGAAATCTCTCCTTGGGTCTGAGATGCTATCTGATTACATTTTAGCTTTGGGGTCTGCTTGGTTAATGTATCCCAAAAAGTTCACCCATAACCACAAGGATGTGAGGCCAGACACAGAAGTGAGCAACAGTTATTAAGGAGACTAAAGATAATTTGACCCTGTACCTGCAACATCCCAGCTCTCCATAATCAAGAAGTTCTAATCAGTCCTCAGCCTTTTTTTTTTTTTCTGGGAATTTCAGTTTTACATCTGTTTCTCTTTTGTAGCATCACATTTTCAACAAATGTTCTGTTTCAGATTGTAGGTCTAAGATAATCATCATAGTTCCCATTGGGCAAAACTTCCTCCCCTTTACTACTTTCCGGGCCACCTGATCATATAATCCACCTTCAGCAGTCAGCTTTTTATTTTATTTATTTATTTATTTTAGAGATACTGTTGTCAAAGTCTCAAGTAGCCCATGCTGTCTGTCCTAGAACTCTCAAAATCCTGCCAAATGCTAAGATTGCAAGTGTGCACTACCATGCACAATGGAGAGAGAACCCAGGGCCTTACGCACCATAGACAAGCAGTCAACCATCTGACCTTGGGCACAGTTACTGCAGAAGGAACCAGAACAGAAGACACTCAGCTACCTGCTCCGGTGCTGGCTGACTCTTGACCTGCTTGAGGTGCTACCTACCGACTCTTGGACACGTGCTAACTTAACAGGGGTACCAACGCCGTTTGTTTTGCAAATGTTTCATTTTTCAAAAACATAAGTCAGAGCGAGGACTGTTAACAGCAGCTTCCAGAAAAGCTTTCTTGACACTGTTTCTTGATGGTTGGGAGGGCTGGCGCCAAGGCAGTGAACTTGACTGTTTTTGTCATCTCTTATGCTGTGTGATTTTTTTTTTTTTTTTAACTGACAAGCAGAGACTCTATTTTGTGCACCGTTGTAGGCAGGTTCTGAAAACTGGTGAAGCCAAACCCCAAACAACCAGAACCTGAGCATTTGACAAAAGTCTAAGGGAGACAAACGGCTGCAGACCAAGCCTTGGGTCAGTGCCAAGCTGTGGTGGATTGACCTTTTAATAACCAAACTTGGGGCATGATGGGAGGGAGAGCTGATGGCAGAAAATGGTCTCTTGTTAGAGGATGCACTGGGGAGGCTGCCTTGCCGTGGCTTCATAGAATCCCCAAAGCAGCCCCAGGACTAGTTGGAGGTCAAGAGACCTCTGAATTCACAGGCTGGGCCTGGAGGCAACAAACCTATCCTTCCAATATTTCAGCTGGCCACCCCTACATACTAGGCTAGACCTCACAGCTGGAAGACACTTTGTCAGGACCCAACCTGGGGCTCTCCAGTTCCAAGTCACAGTTCATGCTGTGCCACAAAATCACCCCAGCCTTGGCCTAGTCCCCATGTGTAATGCCAAGGACAGACCCAGAACTCATCCTCCTTCAAGATACTCCATGATGGGGCTGGAGAGATGGCTCAGCAGTGTATCTTTCTCTCACAGGAACCCAAGCTCAGTTCCCAACACCCAGATCAGGTAGCTCACAACCCCCTGTAATTCCAGCTCCAGAAAATCCAATGCCCTCTTCTGACCTCTGCAGGTATCTGAACACACACACACACACACACACTTAAAAATAATAAAAATAAAATATTTCAATGAAAGAAAGAAACCATGATTGGAAGAACACTCCAGAGAGGGGGATTTGCAATTACAAGGACATGGGGTAACCAAACTCAATAAATGGCTGCTTGCCCATCCCTAGTCTTCCTTCTGCACTTGAACACAACACTGTCACCCAGGGGACTTCCACACCCCATTACTCACCATGACTCAAGGCCTCATACATGCTTGATTCCTTGGCTTAGAGTGAATGGCCGTCTGTGATCAAGATAGGGTAGCCAGGGCTGTCAACAAAGCCAAGTTTACTCTGGGCTCAAGCCACATGGATAAGCCACCTATCTCCATGGCATAGACAATGTCATGTCTGCCTATAACAATGGCTCTGCCCTCTTGGTTTGCTTTTGTCTGCCCTCTCCAATTTTCCTAGAAGGTGCACCCAGGGCCTGATAGGGCTAGGGAGAGAGTAAACACTCTTATCTAATCTTGCCCAGTATGACCATGTGGCACCTAGTGATGGCCCCACCCCTGGCACATCCTGCTTCCTGCATTCCCACTCAGGAGGTGGCCAGGAACTTCGCATCAGCACCTATCCCAAGGCCTGTGTCTGACAGTCACTGAGAAAGAAGTGGCCAGCCTTTTCCAGCAGCCTGTCCTATTTCCCAGCCAGACCCCTAAAACAAGGTCCTCAGGAAGCATGTGTGGTCCCTTCCCTCTCCAGGGCCCCCAACACTCCGAGAACGCTCTTGAGCAGCAGAGGCAAGAAGTCCTACACTTCAGCCTCACCTGAGCTGCTCATGGGTTCCCCAAAGAAAGACTAAACGTGTTTCCAACCCTATGACATGATGTCACTTCAAAGCTCACACTCAAGAACTGTGCTGTCAAATAACAAAATCTCTCTCACACACACAAAGTCTCACAAAAGTTTGAGTAAGTTCACCCTTCTGTGTTGGGCTGCACACATTCTTAGCTATCCCAGGGTATGTGCAGACCACAGGGTAGACATGGCTAGTAAGACATCTGGTTCCAGCTGGCAAAGTCCAAGTAGAAAGTGCTTGTGGCTTTATGAGCCAGAGCCATGCTAACACAGGAGAAGAGGACATGCTATGGGCTGCCAAGCTGGGCACGGTCCAGCACTAACCTGTACTTCCGCCTGCAGCTTCTTGCTGCCAGTCCAGCTGCAGCTGCCCCTGTGGTTCCTAGCTCCTGCTGCTCTGAGGCTGTGGGTCTGGTGATATAGATATGAGGATGGAGCTGATGACACAGGCAAAGAAGCTCATTGTGTGGCAGCTGTAAACCTCTGAGAGTTGCCCATGCAATCAGAAATCTCTGCCTCCCCTTCTCAGGGCTCTCAGCATCTCTTCCCCACCCTCCCCAGTGAAGAGATCGCCCAAGCCTGGAAAACCTGAATTTCAGTACTTCTCATGCTGCAGGTCTCAGTGTCCCCTCTTCCAAAGAAAGGGGTCGGCTTGGAAAACACCAATCACTCCTGTCCAGGCCAACACTGACTAGTAGGACATTTGGCTGAAGGGGAACGATGTTGCTCAGGACTCTGTGGCTTTATCCAGAGGTCCAGAGGGCTGGGATCAACTGCTTAGCACTCAGGATGGAGAGGGCAGACCAGGTGCCACCTACCCAAATCATAACCGACCTGCCCCCAGTAACCAGGGAACCCATGTGTTCATGGGACACTCTGCCACCAGATTATGTGGGGTGTCATGAAGCAGAAGTTGCCAACGGGAAATGTGAAGACTCTCCAATAGAAACTTGATCCAGGGAGACAGGAAAAGGACTTTGGGCCCCAGGCATGATAGCAAGGGGCAGGTAAATGTTAAGAGGAGAGATATTGTAGGTGTCCAGAGCTTTTGAGGGGACTTCAATACCCAGAGTCATCAAAGAGCCACCAGATGCAGCCATCCCCTTTCCTGTGGCACAGCAGCCACTATCTAATGCTGCTTCCTCTGGAGCAGGAACCCAAGCAGAATGGACCACGTCCAGCCTCCAGCATCTGTGCACCAGAAGATACGTGTGGGATGGGACCCCTGGTGGGTGCTGCTGCAGTCTGAGGTCTGCTTTCACCGTCGGCTCATCTGTTTGATTTGGGCTCTTGGCTCACCCCACACATCCCACTGCCCTTGGGTGATTGATTAAAGGCTGGGATTAAACGTGTGCGCCACCACACCCGGCTTCCCCTTTCCTTTCAAAATACCAGACTGCTTCAGCCTGGGCTCTCTCCCTCCGTATTCAGGTTGTTTTCCCTCACCCTGCAGATGGTCCCAATCACAAGAAGCCAGAAAGAAAGAGCCTCGATTCGTTACTTCTCAAAATCGCCCCCACTCTCCTACTTCTCGGCCCTGCCCCAGGCTCCTCAGAGTTGCAAACCTGGTAGGGTAACCCTGGGACAATGGAGCAGGACACATGGAGGTTCTAGTGCAGCTTGGCCAGTGTCAGGCTGCCCAGGTCTGCCCTGTTTGGACCTCTGGGCATATCACCAAGAACAAGGACTTCAAGATGGAAATGTTGCCACGTATGGTAGCACACTTGTGTAAGCCCAGCATTTAGGAGACAGAGGCAAGAGGACCATAGCAAGTTCCAGGCCAGCCAACGGCACCCTATCTCAAACAAAATTAAGTAAACCTAAAAACAGGAAACATTTCAACTTATTACAAAAGAATTTTAAACCTCCAAGTTGATCTTAATGGTATCCCGTGACTTCACAGCAGGAAAGTCAACGGTGTTCTGGTTTTCAGCTATGCCCTCCTCTTTTTTCAGTCTCCTGTAACTCAGGTTGGCCTCCAACTCCCCATGACTTTAAAGGCTGACTTTAAAGCTCTGCTAGATTACAGGTGTGTGCTACAGGTTTTGTTTTTGTTTTTTTGAGGGGTTATTTTTGATTTTTTTAATTCAGTGCTGGAGCTCCAACCTAGAGATTTGAGTGTGCTAAGCAGTCACTCTACCAACTAAGCTACTTCCTCAGCCCCTGTGCACCTTCCCCCTCTTTTTAAATGTTTATCATTTATTTATTTTCATTGGACTATTTTTTTTTTTTTTTTTTTTTTTTGCAGGAGTGTTATTTTTACTGGAAATGCTTTTGAACATTTTCAGGACCTACGAGCTTTTAAAATGCTGATATAATAAGTGCCGATGCGCTCTTTATCGAGCGCTCTCTCTCTCTCTCTTTTCTTTTTCCAAAAAGGGTTTCTCTGTGTAGCCTTGGCTGTCCTAAACTTTGTAGACCAGGCTAGCCTGGAACACACAGAGATCCACCTGCGTCTGCCTTCCCAAGTGCTGGGATTACAGGTGTGTGCCACTGTGACTGGCTGCCCCGATGCTCTTTTATTCTAAGCAAAAACTGTTCTTTGTTTGGGAGGATTTTGGGGTTTAGGGTTTTTTTGTTTGTTTGTTTGTTTGGATGGTTTTTGTTTTTGTTTTGTGTGTTTTTCTAGACAGGGTTTCTTTGTGTAGTCTTGCCCATCCTGTACTCTCTTTGTAGAATAGGCTGACCTCGAACTCACAGAGATCTGCCTGCCTCTGCCTCCCCAAGTGCTAGGATTAGAGGTGTGCACCACCAAAGCCAGCTTTGGGGTTTTTTATTTGTTGCTCATTTTGCTTTTTTAATGGAGGAAGGGCAGGTAGGGATTCACTATGTAGCTCAGGCTGAATCAAAACTTGCTATGAATCCCAGGCTGGCCACAAACTCCTGCCTCAGCCTCCCTGGTACCATCATTACAAATCACCAACCTGAGCTCAAATTTCCTTTGGTTGGTTAGTTGTTCATTTATTTGGAGATGCAGTCTTACGTAATCAAAGCTGGCCTCAGACTTGCTTTGTAATCAAAGCTGGCCTTGAACTCCTGATGCTCCACACTCCCTCTCCCAATCGCTGATCTTTGATTCTGCACCTGCTTTATGTGGTGTCTGAAATGGAGTGCAGGGAGTGCTAGGCAAGCGCTCGGCTAACTGAGCTCCAGTCCCAGCTGACTGCCTTTCATGTCACTCAGCATTCTTCCTTGATTCTAAAATCCCTTTAAAGGGCTACAGAGGCAGCCCAATCAGACAGTGCTTGCCAGCATGTGTGAGGCCCTGTGTTTGATCCCCAGCACTGCAAATAAAACACAGTGAGTTGTAACCATTAAAATTGTGAACTGGGCTCTAACGCACGCTCACATATACTACATGTGTTTGCTGGTTCCTAAGACGTTTTGTGGAGAAGTCTCCCTTTTATGCCACTTCAGAGATGATTTAGTGGTTAAAAGCACTGGCTGTTCTTTCAGAGAACCCAGGTTCAATTCCTAGCACCCACGTGGTGGCTCACAGATGTCTGTAAATCCGATTTTAGGGGATCTAGCACCCTCTTCTGGCCTCCATAGGCACCAAGCGTGCACCTGGCGCATAGACATACGTGCAGGCAAAACACCCACACACATAAAGTAATAATAAAACATACATTTTTTTTAAGTGGGTGGCTCACAAAACACTTGTAACTTTGGCTTTGGGAGGTTCAGCACCCTCTTCTGGCATTCACCCACATGTGTAGGTGTGCCATACACACACACACACACACACACACACACACACACACAACACACCTGAATTTTAAAAATTTAAAGTGTTGGGAGCAGTAAGATGCCACAGCAGATAAAGGCGTCTACTACTAAATCTGATGATTCATCTCCAGGACCCACACAGCAGAAGAGAAAAGCAGCTTCCTGAGCACCGCGACCTCCATACGACAATGCCACACACATAAGTAAATAAACGTAATTTTTAAAATGTGTGCTGGGAGGGGGAGATAGGGCAGGCAGGGCTCGGTCAGTAGAGTGCTTGCCTGGCATGCAGAGAGCCCTGGGCTCTGTCCCCTGCTCTGCTCTACTCTGCAGAAACCAGATAACATGACTCACACTTGAAAACTTAGCCCTCAGGAGACAGGCAGGAAGAGCAGTATTTCAAGGCACCCTCGGTATACAGCACATTCAAGGCCAGCCAGGGATAGAGGAGATGCTGCCCCCCCCCCCAAAAAAAAGTGTATTTGGTTGACGAAAATCCAGAATACCAATGGAAGCACACATGTCATGGCAAGGACAAAGGACCACAATGACCCTCACTAGGGGCTAGCAATGGATGGATTGGCATAGCCACTTGGGAATGACCCGCTTGGCTAGTCAATGTGCAAAAGGGAGGCTTGAGAGGCAGGGCTTCAACTCTACCTACCACCCAAACCTTGAGATCAGACCTGTCTCTGTTGTTCCCAGTAGCAGTAAGAAGAACAAGGGCCCTGGACTCCTGGGAGGAGAGCAGTATTATTCTGTGTTCTAGACAGTAGTACAGTTTAAGGTGAACATGTGTACCCCAGGCCAAATGCTCCTGGGGGGGGGGGTTGACAAGATGCTTAAGAAGATAATAACTATATATTTGCATGTCTGAAAGGGCAGACAAACCTGGGTCCTATCGGGGGAGCGGTAACAGGCCCCCATCAAGTGGGGATTGTTTTCTAAAGTCATTGCTTTGGCTCACCTGGAGATGACCGCAGATTCCACAGCGAGGCTCAGCCCCTTGGCTGCACCATGCTCTGGATGCCAGCCCACGCCTGCATGTTGCATTCTCTGTGCTTCTCCCCAACTGGATATAAATTAGGCTTTCCCGAGAGCCTTCCTTAGTTTGGATCGTTTGTTTGAGTGGCTCAGAGCTTGGAGAAACACTTCCATTATTGGGGGAGGGGTGGTTGCTTGCTCACTCATTTGAAAGAGAGAAGGGGGCAGCCAAAAGAGGGCATTGGATCCCCTGGAAATGATGGGTTTCCTAGTCTGCAGTGCACACTACAGGAACCTATACCCGTTGGTAAGCTCCCCAAACCATGTCCATTTGCTTTCCCATGGGGACTTTATCACAGGAGCCTCAAGAAGAATGTCAGAATGTTTGACAGAACGGAAGGGGTGAGATCTAAGGTTAATGGATTCTTCACGGTGTCCCTGCAGAAATCTTTCCTCCCATGCATGGAGTATGCACGCTCTGGGGTGAAGAGTGTCTTCTCTCCTGTTTGCAGGGAGGTACTTAGGAGCCAGGAACAGTGTACGGAAGCCAAAGTGCATGCATCATAATATCCCGGCTGCTGACATTTAAAGAGCAGGAATTTCCCATAACTATCCCGGCTCTGATTGCTCTTGAAAATGCAGCCAACTTGGCACCATGGGGCTTCACTTCCAGCCTGGTGGTGGCAGGTCCGAGCTGACTGCCCCCTGGTGGTTAGATAATGCTGCTGCATCATGCCTACCATGGCCACCCAGACAACTTACTACCTATCGACTTGGCCTCCTAGGCCTGAGTATGCCCACCTTGCTCCAGACAGCAAACTCCATGAAGGCAAGGACTGACTGCCTATTTCTCTCTCTCTCTCTCTCTCTCTCTCTCTCTCTCTCTCTCTCTCTCCCTACTCTCTTTTGCTCTTTGGAGAAAAGTAAACTTTTTAAATTATTTCATTTGTCATGGATACATTTTACACTTTTTAACATTATATTGTTTGTTTGTTTGTTTGTTTGTTTGTTTGTTTTATGTGGGTGGGTGCCTGAGATTTTAAAAAAGCTTGTGGGGGAGGAGGTGGGGAAAGATGGCTTAAGTGGTTAAGAGCATTAGCTGCTCCTCCAGAGAACCAAGGTTCAATTCCCGGCACCCACATGGCAGCTCACAACTGTCTGTAACTCCAGTTCCAGAGGATCTGACACCTTCACAGAGACATACATGCAGGCAAAAACACCAACATACATAAATAAAAATAAATACATCCATAAAATAAATAATAAAAAAGGAGAGATTGTGGAAGTCAGTTCTATCTTCCTACAACGTGGGTCCTGGATATCACACTCAGGTTGTCAAACTTGACCTTCTTTCCCTCCCAGCAACCTGCTCTCTAGTAAGGACAGTGGGGACCGTGAAACACACGTCATGGGCCAGTTGGGAACTGCGTGGGATTTGAAGGGCGGACACGCACCCGGCACCTACTTTTGTAAGACACTTTGCCCACAGTGTCTTTATCACCAAGATAGCAAGGTCTCCCTACTCTGTGAAGTCGGGTAGATTTGGTGTTACATTCCCAGCCACTAAAACTCCCCAGATTCTGAGAATTTCTAGGCCCCTCCTGCCCTGACTGTGTAAAGATGTTATCGGGGAAGTTTGTATTGCTTATCGGGCCCCTCGGTGGCCCTCCATGGGCTGATTAGAGCAGGCCATACTTAATAAGCAGTTCCCCGCACAGCTTCAGGCCCAGAACTCTTCTCCCTAGCACCTTCAGCCTCAGAAGAAATCATGAAGTGGCTCTGGGTTCTTGGTCTTGTGGCCCTCTCAGAATGCTCAGTCACGTAAGTAAAAATGAGTGCTAGCGGCTGTCTGCCTGGGTTCCTTCTCACCCTTGTAAAACTGCCTGACCCTCTTTTTGCCCTGCCCATCCCAGGGTGAAGAAGGAAATGAAATCCTCCCTGGCTTTCATAAAGTTCAGGTGTCCGTTCATCAGCGATAGTTTGCCAGGACTGCAGGAAGGGCCTAGAATTCTTGGGGCCAAGTGTCCAGGGCCACCCACCTCCAAGGGCACAAGTCATATAGTGAGCTGTGTGGATGTCACTCCCAGAATCTTTCGCTGCACAGCTTGGGCAGCTGAAGGGGTATTTCTTCTGCACTGCCTTTTAGATCTCTCTCAGGATGTCTGTCTGTCTATCTGTCTGTCTCTATAGATCTATATCTTCCCACCTCTCTGAGAGTCTCTGTGTCCACCGACCTCTATTTCTCTCTCTCTGGGCTCAGGCCTCATCATTTCCCTAACTCATCATTCCCCCGCTTTAGCTCTCTCAAATTTTCCATTTTTCTCTCCTCCCTCATTTCTGATTGAAACAAGGTGGGTTTAGAGGGCTTTTTCCACCTGCTCGCAGTGACACGTGCCTGTAATCTTAGCTTTTGGGAGGTGGGGAGAGGATGATCAGGTCATCCTCAGTTATATCTCAAGTCTGATGCCAGCCTAGAATACATAAGACCCTGTCTCAAAAAGAAAAGAAATGAAAACCAAGGAGGCTACCTGCTAGGCCTAGCTTTGTTGGTAACCAGCATGGTGACCAAAGCTGAGTCACAAGGTAAGGAGGCTGGGGGTAGAATGCCCTGCTCCTTCCTCCCAGGCTGCTTCGGGGAAGACAGTGCACTGGGCAGAGTGACAGCCATGGCTGTCACTGTCAGGATCTAATGGATGGCAGGTATTCATTCCCCTTCCATCATTCCCACCCCCAGCATTCAACTCTAGGGGTGTTATCTCCCCATCTTCCTTTCAGAAAGGTTTCGGAAGGGTCTTGTGGCTTGCTCCAGAGCAAATACCAAAACCTGGACTGGAAACCAGGCACTCAGTCATGGTCTTCCCGTTATGTTCTGTGCCTTTTCCAATAACAGCCTTCTTCGGAAAAAACCACTATGCAGCTGCAATGTAAGGTGTTGCCTCTTGGCAGCCTGTGGCAGCTGTCTCTCACTTACTTTCCTTCCCAATGCTCCTTTAAAGAATCCCTCTGATGAAGATTAAGTCCATGCGAGAAAATCTGCGGGAGAGCCACATGCTGAAGGATTACCTGGAGAAGTACCCTCAAAGCCGTGCCCGTGTGCTTCTGGAGCGGCGAGGGAACCCAGCAGTAACCTATGAGCCCATGAGGAACTACCTAGATGTAAGTGTAGCAGGAGCTGGGGCTCCTGAACGCCCCCTGGAGCTTCTGCCAGGCACTGTGGCCCCTCTGGAGAAGACTGAATTAGGGTTGGAGTTCCTAAAGCCAGAAGGGGTAGGGAGCAGGGACTGGGATGGCCCAGCAGTTGAGAACACCTGCTGCTCAAGTGTGAGGTCCGCAGTTCAAATCCCTAACATCCATGTAAGATACAAACTAAATGGAGCCACACACACCTCTGACTTTAGCACTGTGGGAGCGGAAACAGGAGAGTAGCTGGGGCTTGTAGCATGCCAGCCTAGCTCCATGTTCGGGGAGAAATCCTATCTCAAAAGACTAAGATGGAGAGTGAGAGAGCAGGATGCCCCGAGCCCTCCTCTGGCCTCTATTTGCATCACACATACACATATACATGAAAGAAAAAAAATTAATGGATGAGGAACGACAGGAGTCCCTGTGGTGGCTGGTTGGACCGAAACAATGACCAGGTAGGACCGCACAGACATCCTGTTCTATGCTGTGAACATGCTGGACTTTTGTACTTTTTCACCCGGGCTCCGAGTAAGGGTGAGCTGTGTCTAATGCAACGCCAACAAATCCAATTGCAACTCACGCTTGGTATCTCAGGAGTCCCCAACCCTGCAGACTCAGATTCCAACCAATGAGCAGTTAGTGGGCTCTGAGAGGGGCTAGATGCTGAGCCAACCCACAAGATGTCGTGTCTGAAGAGCAGAACCTGGTTTCTTTCTTTCTTTCTTTTTTTCTTTTTTTCTTTCTTTCTTTCTTTCTTTCTTTCTTTCTTTCTTTCTTTCTTTCTTTCTTTCTTTCTTTCTTTGGGTTTTTAAGACGGTTCTCACTGTATAACTCCAGCTGGCCTAGAAGTTACTATGCAGACCAGTCTGGCCTCCAGCGCACAGAGTTCCACCTGCCTCTGCCTCCTGAGTGCTGGAATTAAAGATGAGTGCCACCACACCTGACTAAGCCTAGTGTCTTACAGCCTAGCCAAAGAAGCAGACAGAGAACGAATGTCATCTGGAATCCCAGAAGTCAGAAGACTGAGGCAGGAGAACCATGAGTTTGAGGCCAGCCTGAGCTACATAGTGAGACCTCCCAAAAAGAAAGAAAGGGAGAGGAATGGAGGGAGGAAAAGGCAGGGGGCTGTAAACAAATGCCCAATGAGAGGACAGACTGAGTGGCCTTGAGAGTAATTGTTCTGACTTTGTAGAAGGCAAAGAGCACAGAGGCCCGGAGTGAGGCAGGAGGGCAGCCTGGAAGAGGCACTCAGGCTGAACCCTGACAGGTGGAAGAATTTAAGACCTTTGGGAGAGGATGGAGTGTTCCTAAAAGGAAGCCCTGGTTTGAACAGAGGCTTGGCAGTGTGGACAGCACTGTGAAGGCGGGCACCCCAGAATCCAGGTGAGAGACAGGGCAGCCAGGCTGGCCCTAGCCACAGCCCTTCTCTCCTGCAGCTGGTCTACATTGGTATCATCAGCATCGGCACGCCCCCTCAGGAGTTCAAGGTCGTCTTGGATACTGGTTCTTCGGACCTGTGGGTACCATCCATCTATTGTTCCAGCCCAGCCTGCGGTGAGCGCCCTGCCCTGCCCTGCCTGCCCTGCCCTGCCCTGCCCTGCCCTGCCCTTCATAAGCACACCTGAGGGTCACCTCCTGCCTGTGTCCTGCAGCTCACCACAAGACCTTCAACCCTCTGCGGTCCTCCACTTTCCTGGTCTCAGGCCGACCTGTGAATATCGCCTATGGCTCAGGAGAGATGTCAGGATTTCTCGCCTATGACACTGTCAAGGTAACCTGGGAGCCGGAGGCTGCCACAGGGCCTGGTTCTGGGTGTGAACACTGATGGCAGGGTTAGCTGGGAGTGCCTTTCTGCTCTAGCTGCCTACCCACCTTGTGGAGGCCCCACCCCATGAGGCCTTCTAGCCACAGGTAGCCAAGGTTCAGATTTGCAGTTTCTTCTCCAAAGGGGAGCACAAGTTGGTTCTGCCAGGAGCAGAAAGAGCTGTGTAAAAATAAACTACTTGCACACTCTACCTTGTTCCAGACAATAGGCTGAGCACGTCCTTCCAAATGACTCCATTAGTTTTCTCAGTAAGAGGGCATTGCTAGGGCTTCACCCCACAGGTGAGTGAACAGAGAGAGCCAGTGCCTAGTTTCAGAGCCTTATGTGAGAATGCCCTCTTCTCCCACAGATCGGGGACCTCACGGTTGTGGCCCAGGCATTTGGCCTGAGCCTGGAGGAACCGGGCACTTTCATGGAATATGCAGTCTTTGATGGTATCCTGGGGCTGGGCTACCCCGACCTTGGCCTTCAGGGAGTCACACCTGTCTTTGACAACCTGTGGATGCAAGGCCTCATCCCCCAGAATCTCTTTGCCTTCTACTTGAGCAGGTGAGCCTGTGCCACATCAGCCTTTTTCTAGGCTGTCAGTTGCATTAAAAATTGTTGACCTTCTGACCCTGAAGGGTCCTTAGACATAGTCTCATCCAGGCATCTGCCTGCCATGGACACCAAATCTGGCCCATCCTCTGCTTCTGTAAATAAGGCTTCACGGGATCATTTGTTTCTGTTTTGCCTGTGGCTGCTTTCATACTGCAGCAGTGGCATTGAGCTATTCAGTAGAGATGAATGTCTCCCAGTGTCCACAGCCTCCAGTACTGACAGTCAGACCCTCCACTGACTCCTTTAGTCTCATCTCTTCAGTCAGAGATGAGCTAAGGCTCTGGGAAGGGCTTTGCCCAGGATGGCAAACTCTAGTGCCCCATCTAGAGAAGCGGGACCCAAGCTCAGCCCTCAGGATTCTTCCCCATGATGGTGACCAGTCCATCAGCTCTTCAGCTACACTGAAGTTCCTGGTAGACTGATCTGGAGGACAAGGGAGAAAGCCAAGCACGGTGACAGGTCCTGTTGACACTGCCTCTTCCCTGCCAAATGTGGGATTTGATCCCGCATGTGGGGGGAGGGGGCAGCCATGTCTATGGCTGCGGGCTCTCCGAGAACCTGAGTTCCATGAATCCCAGCTCTCTAGCATGAGCCAAGCAGTTCTAGCTTAATGCAAGTGGTCCAGTCTCTCTCTGGCCCTTGGGAACACTTGAATCCGCACCACAATGATCCATTCATTCAACTACTTCTTATTAAGTACGTGCTAAGCACTGAGTACCGCTCTGTACACAGCTTGTGTGAGGATACAGAAAAGGGGGCGGGCAGAAGACAAGAAGGTATAAACAAAGGGAAATCAGACCTCAGGTAGTGACTGTGTCTGTGACAGCAGTGTATCAGGCGGGTAGAACCAATAGGCCTTAAAAGTGGGGGTGGGGCTCCCTGAGATGAAGCTAGACCTGTTTGAGCTAGAAAGCACACGCTTGGCTACCCAAGGCCTCAGTGTTCTGGAAAGTGACAATCCAGATAGGCAGAAGTCACACCCCTCTGGATGCAGTGTCTTTCAACCATAAAGTTGCTCTAGTTTCCGGAGGGGTCCAAATGTTCCACAGAATGGTGGGGTGTCCAGAGCCCAGCTCTATACCCATTATCCACATCTGGATCTCAGCTTTGCCACTCATGAGCTGTGTAACTGGCCTGGAGCAGGTACAAGGGCCTCCTTGTCTTAATTCCTAAGGATGGCCGCTGTGCAGGGCTGTGTGGGTGCGGATGGGCACACTAGCGGCGCTGGCAGGGTCAGGCATACTGCCAGGTCTAAGGGGCCTGGCCCACCGACCTCCACCGAGCAGTCAGCCCTTCCACCCTCTCCCCTCCAGCAAGGATGAGAAAGGCAGCGTGCTGATGTTGGGCGGAGTAGACCCCTCCTACTACCACGGAGACCTTCACTGGGTGCCGGTGTCCAATCCTAGCTACTGGCAGTTATCTGTGGACAGGTAAGCGCCTGGCTGATTCCTGCCCCTGGATGCTGCCTCCAACACGTGCACACACACGAACACACACATGAAGTAACACCGACCCATGCCCGTGCATGACGGCACCTGTACATACAACCACACACAAGGTCACTGACACATGGAGTCATAAGACAGTCACACAAAAATAGAAGCCTGCACGAGACATGCACAACCACGGAGACACACATACACACACAGACATCCAGTCTGCGGCACCGTAGACATACCCCCTCGAAGCCATGTGTATAACGGCTCAGGTCTCCTCAGCAGAATCACAGCCAGAGAAGGTGGTCAGGCCTCAGGCCTGGGTATAGAATGCTAAGGGAAGGGCAGGGCATCTACAGACCTGGATGGGTGGGAGTCTCTGGAAGAGGCCCATGCAGAGTGGAATGGGTGGGATACATGGTCTGAAAACCCGAAGAAGAGATGGGGGTGGAGGGTGTCCTATCGGACTGAACAGTCACAGTGAGCAACCTCCATCCTGGTTTGCCCAGGACTTAGAGCTTCCTGTCCAAAGCAGAGAAAGTCCTGGGCCCACAGTGAAGAGTATCACACCAGAGAATAGACAGGAGCAGAGATAAGTCTCCATCCTCAGACCTGAAAGCAACAAATACAGCCACACAGCAGGCCAGGAGCATGAACTAGAGACCCGGCCACCTGGGAACTGAAACACCTGAGCACACGGGGACGAAAACTGAGCAGACTCTGCACATTCGCCAGACGGAAGCTCAAGCAGCTCAAGCAGCCTTCCGGGACATCAGCAGTCTGGCCATCTGCCTTGGGCTTCCTGGGGTGCTGCCTGGTGCGTTGACACAGCGGCAGTCGGCTGGAGAGGTGGCCTCTTGTGTAGCAAATGGCTGCTTGTGTCCCCGCCGTGGAGCATGTGGCGCACACAGGGACCTACCTTCATTCCGGAGCTGTGGAGCTGGTCGGGCACAAGCGTTCCTTGTTGCTCCTTTCATTCATTTATTCTCTCAGATGTGCATACGCTGAGCATCACCGTGTGAGGCACCCAGTAACGGTGCCATCCAGTAGTGTGTGTGTGCATGAACCAGGGCGTCCTGCAAGCAGCGAATTGCCACCTCACCCCTTGCTAGAAATGAATAGGGGGAAAATGGAAGGAACCAAGAGAGGGACTGAATTGAACCTGCAGCTGGAAAAGGTGACAATTAGGCTGGAACTTGGGAGATGAGAAACCAGCCAGACGAAGGGGGCATGTGCAAACAGCCCTGAGGTGAGAAGCAGATCGGCGCACCTAATTACCAAAAGGATGGTGCTGGCGAGATGGCTCAGTCGGGAGGCTGCTGGCTTGCCTGTGGGAAACCCTGGGCTTGAGCTCCAGCATCAAATAAGCCAGGTGTGATGGGGCACAAGGCAGGAGGGTCAGAAGTATAAAGTCATCCTTGACTAGCAAATGAGTGTGAGGGCTGGAGAGATGGCGGAGAGGTTAAGAGCATTGGTTGTTCTTCCAAAGGTCCTGAGTTCAATTCCCAGCAACCACATGGTGGCTCACAGCCATCTATAGTGAGATCTGGTGCCCTCCTCTGGCATGCAAGTCCACATGCAGGAGAAACACTGTATAAATAATAAAAAATAAATAAATCTTCAAAAAAAGAAAGGAAGGAAGGAAGGAAGGAAGGAAGAAAATAAATGAGTTTGAGGCCAACCTAGGCTACATAAGACCTTGTCTCAAAACAAAGAAACAAATAAAACAGACCAGGTACCTAAAAAGACAGCAGATAGGGTGGCACCCAGACATAGTCCCAGCTCCTGGGGAATCCGAAGCAGAGGGGTCATTTGAGCTCAGACATTGGAGACCAGCTCAGAAAACATGGTCAGAACCTTTACTCTAAATAAACAAACAAACAAACAAACAAAAAACACAAAAAAAAAACAGAAAAAGGTAAAGTGACCGTGCAGGAGGGTGGATGTGGAGACCCGAAGGTCTGAAGTCTGGGAATGGGAGCATGGTCCTGTATAGTAATCCTGGTGTCCTCTTTGGCCCCTGCCTCTCAGCATCTCCATGAGCGGGGAGGTCATCGCCTGTGTTGGAGGCTGCCAAGGTATTATGGACACCGGTACCTCCTTGCTGACTGGCCCCCTAAAGTCGATCCTTAACATCCAGAATCTCATCGGAGCCAAGGCCTCTGGTGATGGCGAGGTAAAGATTATGTGGGAGGCCCGCTCTGGGTTATCCACGCGCTACTGCAGTAGGAGCTGGACTAACCTCCAGCCTCCCCATCTTTACAGTACGTCCTCAAGTGTGACGCCATCAACACCCTACCGGATATTGTCTTCACCATCGATGGCATCGCCTACCCTGTGCCAGCCAGTGCCTACATCAGAAAGGTGAGAGCCCTGCAGTGGGGCTGTTCTTCAAACCCTGGAAATAGCAGGAATTATCAAGGTTGGGCTTCGGTGGAAGAGGAGGGCGCACCCTGGTGGTGAGGATGTGCCGTTACAGGTTCTGCTGCTGTTTTCCTCACCGCCACCCACCACACACCTCACCCACCCCCACACCCGGGCAAGCACTGCCTGCCCACACAACAGCAAAAGCCAGTGTGGCATTCCTTTCTCCTCCCATAAATTTTGAGGGATCAGCAGAGCGTTTCCCAGATTGCAGAGGAAAGATGAGGCCTCATGTAAATAGGACCTGGGGGACTACGCAGAGGCAGCCAGGATAGGTGGATCTGCAGACAAGGGGCATGGAGGACAGTGTGCCAGCCCAGGATGCAGTGACTGAAGCTGCCCAGAGGGGAGGAGGAAAAGCCTGCTCTGCAGAGGGAGTGGCTGAAGCACGGTTGGGGGAAGGGGAAGAAGAAGAAGAGGCTGAGCAGCTGCCCACTGAGCTCCTGTATCACCACTCTTTTCCAGGATCATCCACACAAGTGCTGTAGCAACTTTGAGGATGGCCTAGAAGACCCGTCGGATCCTGAGATGTGGGTGCTGGGGGATGTTTTCCTGAGGCTGTATTTCACCGTGTTTGATCGGGAAAATAACAGGATTGGTCTGGCTCCTGCTGCATGAGTGCTGGGCCTCCTTCAGGGGCTAGCCAGGCATTCCCAACCCCCAAAACAGACCTGAATGCTCACAGGACATCCCCATCCTAGGAGCTCCACAAAGCCCTGTTCTGGGTAGGGAATAAAGACTGCATTCACAAAGCCACTGATGCTCACAGCTGCTCTTTCTGGGTCAACCGGGGATGTTGGAGTTAGTTTGGGTTTGGTTTAGTCTTTGAGACAGGGTCTCAGTCTGTAGCTCAGGCTAGCCTAGAACTCACTATCATAGTCTAGGTAGATATCCAACTTTCAGCACTCCTCCTGCCTCAGTCTCCAGAATGATAAGAAGCAAAACTCTACCATGTGGTCCCCATGGTAAGAGAAGCCAAGTCTAGCCAGCAGGAAAGAAGAGAAAGACTAAGGACAGATATAACAAAAGTGCAGAAGATAACAACCACAGGCCTAGAAGTCAGAGCATCTATTTCCTCCTTCTCTCCTTACTCTCCTTTCCTTCGAGTCTCTTTGCCTCTCAAGCTTCTTTTTCTTGCCTTTGGAGGTCAAGGACCTTGCTGCTACTAGCCCCAGGATGTCACATCTGAAGGTATCTGGACAGGAAGGACACAGATGATTAAAAAAAAAAAAAAAAAAACCAGAGTAACAGAGAGGGCTCTGGTTGGTCCGCCAGGAGTGGTGTGTCCATCGTGGACCAAATATCTTGGCCAGAGGTTAAAGAGATGCGGTGATTGTCTCTGCTTGGTCAGATGGTCTTGTCTGTGACCTGGAGTGATTGGCGGTTTTCTTTAGAACCACGGTGCTGGAGTGGAGAGTAGTCACTGAGAACAATGGCAAAGGATATTCTGGACGGCTAAGAGCACTTGATCTGGCTCTCGCAGTGTCTATCCTCTCCTCACTCAGAAAGTTGCTTAAAGGAAAATTAAAAAGAGGTTCTGGATGTCAGGCCTCATGGCACAAGCAGGTAATCTCAGTGCCTGGAGAGTCTGAAGCAGAAGGATACACAAGCTCGAGGCCTACCTGGGCTACCTAGTGAGGTCAAGGTCTGCCTGGGTGACTTAGTGATAGCCAACCAAGAGCTAAAAGAGGAGCTGGAGAGGTGGCTCCGCTTACCGCTCTATCAGAGGACCAGAATTCAGAGCCCAGCACAAAAACAACTGAATTCCACCTCCGAGGGATCCGATACCCACTCCTGGCCTCTCTTAGTACCTTCACACATGTGCACACACAGACATACATATAAATTAACCCTTTAAAAATGGAAAGGTAAAGGGGCTGGGGCTACAGCTCAGTGGTAGACCACTTGGCTGGTAAAGCGAAGCACCAGGTTCAATCCCCAGCACCTGCCCCTCCCACCAAAAAAAAAAAAAAAAAAAAAAAAGTTGTTACTTGAGATGAGCCATCCCAAACTTCTGGACACAGCTATTGGAACACTTTATTTGGACTGTCAGAATCTGACATACTTAGAGCTGGAGAGGTGGCCCAGCAGTTCAGAGCACTTGTTACTCTTGCAGAGGACCTGAGTTTGGTTCCAAGCACCCACATGGTAGCCCATAACCACCTGTAATTTCAATTCCTGAGGATCCATTGACTTCCTCTGACCTCCGGGAGCACCACATACACACATGGTGTATATATATGCAGGCCAAACACTTCAATAAATCTTTTAAAAACAAAAATGGGTGTACTTGATTTGGGATGGCTTTTTGAACAGGCCGAAGGCTACGCAGAGAGCAGAAGGAGCGAGCAGAATAGAGTAACACTCGGAGCCTGTTTCGATGCATCACACCACGAAAGCTGCTGCTTCAGTGTCAGCTCACGCGGTCCATGATCACTGGGCATCTGCAGGTCAGGCCTGTGGTGCACCCTGGGAACTTGCTTGGAGTCACAGAAACAGATCAAAGGGAGTGGTACAGCGGAGACTTGAGAGAGCCAGGAGGGATGACAATGAAAGATCCTGAGGAAATTTCCAGGTCGGGGGAGGAATGGCTTCCAGGCTACACACAGCGTACACAAAGGACAACCCAAAAGGAACACCCAGTTCCATGTCCCACCTCCCTGCAATGGTCCCAGAGGTCATCTGTCCTTGAACCCCATTCCCACTTCCAGGGTGCCTCACCATGAGAGCAGGTAGCCATCACGGGGGGGGGGGGGGAATGCTGTTATCCTCTAGTATATATGAAGACAATGAACTAATCATATACAACCTTCAGAACTCAG